ATGAATCAGTGAAGGGAAATAACTGCAGGCTTCCAGGTTCTATGGACATATTTCTCTTTGTATTCATGAGCACTTCAAGAACAAGGTATGTTTTCTTCATTTTTCTATCCCAAGTCTTGGCCAAATCCCTGGCATTAACAGGTAATTTACTAAATACATAAAATTGATGGGTTGATTGATGATGGGAAAAGATGCTGTCATCATCTTAATTAGATTAATATTTCTAGAAAACCATGATATCATTTTAAGTTAAAAATATTTTAAGTTAGAATAATAGGGTCACCATACTGTAAGTTCTGTGTTGGCATATTTGGAAAAGTTAAAGGGTGAGCCCTGAGAGCTGGTCAAACTTGTGCTTCAAGAGACTGGAGGTTGAATTAATGGGACACATACCCCTTAGGGAAGAAAAAATGCCCATCCAACATACGTAGGTTGCATCTGAATTCTTCAAGATTGGGGAGATGTTTGTTTTTCTCTAGGGTGACCAAGGTCTCACCTCAGATATTGATTCATCACACAACTGCCAGAGGGACATTTAGTATCATATGGAACATCAGGCATCCCCAGGACATGGCCCAGCTCATGTGACATCACTCCTACGAGAGCCACATTGTTCTTTCTTTCAGCCTGGAAAAAAGTGGAAACTTCTATTATTTCTCATTTTATTCGGTTAGTTCTCCATTGTTGTCAGTGTGCAGTACTTAAAAATAGCTTGAGAAATGAAAAATAAGGAATCCTTAAGCTTCTCTTCCTGCCATTGTTTATTGTAAAATGTTGAAAGAACATTTGCAATGGTTGGGTCCTACAAATCCAAAAAACATTGGAGCTCAATAAATATTTGTTGAAGTAATGGATACTAAGTTCTCAGTAAACCATGGTTAAATTAATTATATTCTTCATAGGAAGTACTAATAGCTACTATATCAGAGGTCTCCAAAACCTATTGTTATGATGCTTATGTCGTTAGTAGTGCTGGCACCTACATGCACCTTTCTTTATTCCTTGTCATAACTCTCTAGACACAGATGCCGGGGATGACTAATTTACAGTTAGCCCAGGCCACAGAACGTATCGGGATCCCCTTTCTATTTCAATATTCCTGCTCTTATTCCCTAACATGTACTAAAGAATGAGGGCTTCTGGGAAGGCCACTATAAGGGAATATTCTCTTTCATAATCCAAGGAATCTTCGGTGCAATAATCTAGCAGTAGTTTCATTTCTACTGTGATTTATTGATTCTGCAAATGTCATTGTACCAGCTCTGTAAAAAGCATTACGCTCGTCTTCATAAAGGACATAGAGCCATAGGGAACTTTAAGTTTACAAACCTCAATAACAGCCACTGAAGATGGGGAACACAAGGAATTGGAGGCTGCCATTCCTACACGTCGATTGCTGAAGCCAATCCCACTATATGAAAGTTACAGATACATTGTTACAATCTGAGTCTTTAGACCCATTAGCTTCTGTTAATTATGTTACAGAATTCCCTGGCTGCCCTAATCTTCTTATTTAATATATTTACTAGGCCCCCCAAAAGTCTCTACTATTCCATAGCATTATAATGACCACAGATTGTTATCTCACATCCAAGAGTTCATTCTATTGATCTGATATAGGCCTACAATATTCTTACAGGTGAATTGCTAATGGTAGAACTTCAAGCATTTTGACAATTGATAGGGGAGATATGATTGAGCAGAAATTTCTGTCAAGGAACCTCAGGGATAACTATCCACTCTGCCTATGTACCCCTGGGCCTGGCCAGCATACGCTTACCTGAGAAGTTGAGCATGGTCATGTATCTTCTTTTTCCCCAGGTTAGAACGATGCCATCTCAGGAAGTTCTTAAAGATGGTGTCTGTGTTGGGTACCACCTTTATCTTATCACTATCAGACCAGATTTCCATACCTACCAAGGCCACGTGAACATCTATGGTGTTATAAATCTGTAGAAAGAGCATTTTTCTTTATGAAAATATTCAGTATTCCTTTAGTGCTTGAGAGGCTTTGCTAACCACAAGTGATGGATAAAGTGATGGACCACAAATGATGAATTTCCATTTCTAAAATAAAAATCCTAGAAGTTGCCTTCTACAAAATATGTGATTTTACCTTGATGGTGATCATTCTTTTTCCCATAACTGCTGACCTGAAGGCACTGTGACCCTCTTAACCCCATGTTGGTGAGATCATAGAGAAGCTCCAAGCTTCTAGGTAGAAACATAGGTTTACATGACAGATATCTCACCACATTGAGTAGGTTCACCACGTCAAACACGAAGCTTCTTATCAGAGTTAGATTCTCCTTATAGTTCTTATACTGTAAAATACAAAATGCAAAGTATAATTAAATGCCGAATTAAAGCGAGAAAGCTGATGGGGTACAGGATTTCACATTTTAAGAAAAAATTATACATTTTAGTATAATTAACGTCTTTTATTTCATGACTAAATTATGCATGACTCTGTGCTTCAATAAATTCTATTTCGAATGTAACAGTTTTTTGGTAAGAGAAAAGTTAGGCATTCATATAAAATGCTAGTGTTCTTCATTTTTAAGTTAAATAAATCAAGTTAATAATTTGCATGTTTTGAAACCAATTA